GACTTCTGTGCCACAGCAGGGTGCAGGGCTGTAGCCAAACCAGACCAGCCGCCATGGCTGCTTAGGTGAGGTGCAGCAGCGGTGGTGGTGCAGAGTTGTGTCCCCACTGCTGCCGGGTGGACATGGGGTACTTCACCTTTGCAGACATGGCAGCACGGCGGTCTCACCTGCTGGGCTGTGGAGCTGGCTGCTGCCCACAGCTGGTCCGACCTGGCTGCAGCCCTGTGCCCCACTGTAGGCACAGAAATCTCAAGGGGCATGTGCCCCCCCACCCCTCCTCTGTGTCACCTGTGCCCACTCCTACCCCCTATGTCCACACCCACCCTGTTCCCCACACACTAGGGAGCTAAGGGCAGGGGGAGCAGGTCAGGAGTGAGGGGTACCAGCTGGGCCAAGGGGCTGTGGATTGGGAGTGAGGGGCATCTTTCTAAACCTCTTATTTCAGTTCCTTTTGAGTTGTATTTATAATGGAAGATTGCTGTGGTTATTGTGGAAAGGTTAAATGTATTTTTAAAAAGTAATTTAAATATGGGAACAGACTTGATGATTGTTGTTGTTGTCACCATCGAGTGAGCCGTTGTTTATGCCCAGTATAAAAGAAAGTTCTTTTAATTTGTTGCTTTCTTCTGGGGATGTGGGGTGAGTAGAAATGGCAGTTAATAAATAATATGACTTTCCATTTTCTATTATCTTTTCTTGATGAACAAAAGCCCATTGGGATTGAATAGCAAGTCAATTTCATTTCAGTAATACTCACATTGTTAACACATTGTCTCAGACCAGTTTTGGGATGACACGATAGGTTGCTGATATGTTTGGGCGCAAACATTTTCTTGTCATTTAAGTCACGTAATTATTCAGCTTGTGTGTTTCGGTATATCAAGCTTTTTGTTGCAATTTGCATTGTTCATGTTCTTCTGTTAAGTACTTTTACCTGGCCTGGAGTCTTGTGTGGTGCAGAAGCACCTCAAATCACATACAGAATTAATGAATGAAGTTCATGGATCACTCCGTTTCTTCTGCACTTCGGAGTTCAGCGCTCCAGAACAAAACATATTGATTTATTACCATTATACTTGATCTTACACCTGAAATGCGTCAAATGTCTTTAATCAAAGAAGAAACTTTCCACGTGTCCATCATCTTAGGATCCCCGTCTCGGGCAAAAATAAAAGTTGGTGCCTATGTCAGAGGCCATGATTGCTCTGCTTTAACTCTGCAGTTGAATGATGACGTCAGCTGTAGTGGTAAAGTGTAGTTTAGCTTTAGTGGATTTTGCTGCTGTTTACACTTAATTTGCCCTGGAAGATGAAACCTGATGACTCAGTTTCACTGTTTAGTCCTCCTGAGTCACCACAACACTGCTTTTCCAAGTGTTTGCAGGTGGACAGGATGAATTGTTTTATGGGTAAAAAGACAAATAACTAAAAAACTAACTTCTTTGTGCTGGGCTTCTATAACCTTGGAAAATCAGACAAAATCAAACTTTTGATTGATTTTTTTTTACAATACCCCTTTAAATGAATACTTTATTAGGTGAGCAAAGCTTATTCTCCTCAGTGATACTCCAAACCCTTTCAGCATTTTTCTTTCTTTGTATAATTTCAGTTTTGCTTTGGCACCCAAAATCTGTTTATAGCTTAACTGTCAGATAAAAAGCAGAAAGACAGAAAGAAAGATTTAAAAATCAAGCAACAAAATCCACTATGAAAAGTGCTGAGACACTCTCAGAAAGAATATTTAACCTAATTTATTCCATTCATTAAACCTTATTTTACTGGAATGAAAGTTGTTTGTTAGGAACTTATGTGTGGGCTCCAAATAAGAAACTGTGAGAAAGAAATGAAATACTTAAAGGTACAAGAAACATACTGTGTTTCTGAGAAGGCTAGGGTTTCTCTTTTTTTTTTTTGCTTTTAGTCAAGAAGGACTTGCATGATAAATGGTGTGCTTTTAGAAATCCTACAATAGACTGGACACACAAATGAAGGTTTAGTAATGGTGAGAGATTACCAGGAGATAATGGAGCAAGTCAAATTAGAAAACATGATGAAACAGCACAAAATTTACATACTGTTTGGGTTATCTCCTTTGCATTCATAAGACCATGGCCATCTTGGTGTTTGTAGCATAATTATACAGCATAAAAGTGTGCTCCTGGTTTCCAGCTGCTAATGACTTATTTAGCACTAGCCAACCCAGTGGTCACCATAGTGAGCTGTATCTATGTCTAATGCAATGCCATAAAAAAGCATGTCATTTCAAATTTTGAAATGTTATCTGTGGTATATTGTCATGTAAGCCTACTGGGATTCTCATGAAAAGCCTAAATGTGTGATAGGAACCAAAATGATATATATATAGGCTGGCTTCGATGAAAATAAATTGGTGCCAGTTCAGCTCCTCTGGAACACAGGTGGTGCATATTATGCAGTGAAATCAGGCCAACTCATTTTGATCAGGCTGGGGTGAGCTGAAGCCAAGCTTCTGACAGGCAGCTAGCCTTTCAGAATGGAAATCTGAATGAGAAACCTACAGCAGACTGGGTTTAAAGCCATGGATTTAAATGAAGTGTGTATGCCGGTTGCATAATGTAACAATTTTAATTTTGTGTAAAGATGTTCCATTTCAGTCGTGAACCGTAAAGGCCCCCTGGTGGCAATGCCAGCTAACGGAAAATACCAAGCGTGCTTTAGCCTCATCTAGTAAGGCATCACTGTCACCCACATGTGAGTTCCTGATTTCATTAAATATTTAAACATGATTTAACTTCCAACATGCTATCAGCCCTACTTGATCTTGTTTTCAAAGAGGACACAATAAAGGACAGTCACTTTATCTAATCAAGTTGAAGCCGAGAAGGACACTGTAGCTCTGAACAATACACTGGCTTTTCAAAATATGCCTATATATATTTCAAACTTGGGCTCAGCCCAGAACCTTTTAGAAGCAAGAAACATCCCCTGGTAGCTTCCTTGATTGCTGTACTTCCATAATTCATAAGCACTGATGTTCATAAGGTACCTTTGCACTTGAGTTTTTCAGTTATTTTTGGTAGGCGCTCAGATGCTTTTATAATGCCTTGAACAGGCCTTTTCCAATGAGCCCATTTTACTGCTTGCATTAGCCCAGAGTTGCGGAGAGGCAATTGCTGTAACTTTTAAGATCTGCGGCAATGGATAATGTGTGCCTAAAGTGGCAGAAGGTAAGAAGATTTGTTTTGTAAGAAACCACTAATGTAAGATTAACAGTGAATTAAACAATAAAATGTATTAATTATTCATCTGGTGCAAAGCTCGTATGATAGCAACATATGGGACTGAATGGACTGTATAGTACAATGGTATACAGGAGGAGTGCTTCGCCGTGATAGGAACAGCAGAGGATGCAACTAATTACTGGCAACCAGAATTTGTATTGCATAATAAATGACCTCTCTCTGCTCCTCCTGCCACCTGAAGCTGTAATCCTAAAAGCTCCATGTTGCCACTGTACCATTGCCACTGCTCACGACTTCTGTCGACACAGATGCGTCCATCTGGGATCACCACTGAATGACAGAGCTATGCTGGCAGAAGTCCATAGTGTAGACAGAGCCTCGGGAACAGAGATATGCAAAACTCAAAAGGAAAAATATCGAGTTTAATAAAACTGTCTGATAGAAAATGCTTTTTTGCCCTTGCAATGAAACCATGGGACCAGTAATTTGAATATAAGAAATGCTATATAATGCTAAGAACTCTGAAAAATCAGGTCTTGGGCATCTCAAATTGATTGTCCAAAATGATTGAATACTTTTGACCCTTATTTCTCTGCACGTCAGTTCTCTGCCTGTAAAATGGGTTGTTGTGCCCCCATCTCACAGGTTATTGTGAAAATAAATTGATATTAGTAAAGCAGTCAGGTACTGCCACAAATACCACAGCAAAGCCTATGAGGAAATAAATAATTCTGTCTTCATAGCAGGGTGTTGATACTGTAGAATAAAAAAAGACTCAGGGCCACTCAGCGAGCAACGAAGAGAAAGAATAATGAGCGTACACATTAAATTAGCACAGCCATTTTGTACATTGAATGAAGTAGATTGGTGGAAAAAATAAGGGTGATATAATAAAAAACCGTATCATAGGCACCCACTCCCAGACAACAGATTCACTGTACCATTTCCTAACTTTTGAGTGCTTGGCTTTGCAACCTTAATGTATTTTAAATGTATAATTTTGTATGTTTAATTCTTTCTCTCACACGTTTACTCTCTCTCACATAATATGAAGGATTTCACCTGAATTTGTCAGTTTGGGTATTGACCCCAAATTAACTAGTGGCCTGTATGAAACAACTTTAAGTATTATACATGCCATACGATGTTCATATCATCAGCACTGTAGTAACTGGGATCCCTTGGAAGATATTTTACTGGTAGTTAGCATGGAGGGTGAAGACTGAATGGACATGAAGACTGAATTACTGACACTCTTTTAGCAAGTTGTGAATGGACTTGAAGACTAAATGATACTTTGACCTTAAAGGAATTCTGCCTGGAAAATGAAAGCACACTCTTGTGGGCATTGCTATTCATTTATGTATTTATGGTGAATAAACCAACAAATACATTTTATGGTCATTGTAGCATCTTCATGAACACTCCAGAGAAAGCTACCAATGATTATAATAATCCCTTTCCTTGTTTAAGATGACGTGTTACTATGTGCCCAAAGATGGGGAGAAAAAGTAGCTGTAATGAAAGCACAGCATAGCAAGGATCAATTTACTTGGTAAGGAAAATAGCATGCGGGTGGTCTGAATCTTGGAAAAACATGTGCTCACATGACTAAAATCTCTACTTTCATCTTGAAAGTAACATTTGGAATATCTTTAAGTCTTTTTTCACAGCTAGAGGAATCTGACACTTGCTTATATTACCAGGTTACATACAGAAATTGCATCACACCATAATGTAACATAGCAGATACGGTATGCCTGTAAGGTTGCATAGGAAGGCTGCGTAAGTTTTTATTTCTGACAAACATAGCATTATTAAGTTGTTCATCGTAGCCAAAAAAAAGATTTCTTCTGTCAATAGAGGCAAATAAAATATTCATAAAATTAATAAAATATTGCAAAAAAAAAAGATGTAAGTGACTTTAAGAAGAAAAAGATGAATGATTTACCAATGACTAGAATTTTTCAAGAGGTGTTGTCTCTATACATCTTCTCCCTGCAGCTGTACATTTACCTCTGTTGCTTGAACTTGGAGAGCTTTTTTGTCTTGAGCTTGCTGTACAGTTACCACTTAGACCCCCATCCCTCTGTGTGCTCTAGATTTACGGGATGAATGGCAGCGTACACTTCCTGTTCCTCAGTTTCCTTTAAACCATGCTAGCTCTTTGATCATTGGGAATTACTCGCTGTTAGGAGAATCTCTAGCAAGGTTTTATGGATGGTTTCCATCGATTTCTACCAAAAAATGGATGTCTGAGAGACCCCAGCCAGGCTACTGCCCACTCAGTTAATTTTGAACCGTCCTTAAATAAGCAAATTTGAATACCCTTTTTAAAAAAAATCCAGGAACGTTTTTCCTTTCCCTTCATTTGGTACTCTGTGGGTTCCAGGATATGCAGGGGGCAATATTCAATGTTTTAATTGTCTTAAATAATTTGCAATGTAATAATTTGATCTTCTGTGATATATTCTAGCCCCTTGGTTGTGCGCACCCAAACGTCCATTCCTAGCTACATTCTTGGTTCATGTTCAGACCGGAGCACAAAGGGAGCAGATCAAGACAAAGGATCTGCTTCACTGCATGTCCAGGTACGTGCATGAGGATGCAGACTTAATGAGGATCCTTCTGTCTGAACAGCTCATGTCTTCCTGCCCCTCGGGCAGGGGGCTGGACTCGATGATTTTCCGAGGTCCCTTCCAGTCCTAATGTCTATGAAGTCTAATCCTGACTGTTTAATTTTTGAGTTCTCAGTATGAGGGTTGAAAAATTTCCAGAAATGTTCTTGAAGGGTATAAACAGATGTTGTCTTTGGATGAGAATCATCTATTCTGTATCATGTATCCTGGCGCAGATGATCTGCTTCATTGGTGTCTACTGACATTGCCTTGTAGGGTCAGGTGCCTGAAACTCCCAGGGCTTTAGGAGCCTAATCTGGTGTCCCTTGGCTGTGCCTCAACCTGTGGTACATGTCTGCGAAGGCATAAGGACATGTTTGTTTGCAGTCAGAGCATGGGGAAGCCGGGAAGAGGGAATATAAACTCCTTAAATATTTATCATGTGAAAAACTTTCGCCAGCTGAGTTATTCCACTTAAGTCAATAGTACTCCTCACATGGACTCCAAGGACAAATTATGGATTTCATGTTGAATAGTCCTTCAAGCAAAGACATTCTCCTTCCAGGTGAGTATACTAACCTAACAGCTGAACAGAGCATTTCAAAGACTGCAGTGGAAATACTTATGCAAAGAACTAGGCATGTACATAACCATTTACAAAATGAGGGGCACAGATGTGTTTTTTATCTGCAGCTACTTGGCTTGACACCTGTGTAACCAGACTGCTGTCGACAATAGTTTCTGAGTGCAGCAATTTCAAATTCTCAACCATTCAGTTTAACTGTCTCCGTATTTACACTGATTCAGAGCCAAACTACCAAATTCCTGCTCATTCCAAATTCCTGCTTTTTAGTATGATCAGAAATAGCGTAATAGCACACTATATGAAGCCTTTTGCACATTTATAATTTGAGTTTTAAAAGTGTTTAAATCAAGTTTCTTCCAAGTTGGCTTGTTTCCCCGCTCTGCATGAATTATACAAATCTAAGTTTATTGTTGCTACTGACAGCCGTTATCAAGACACAATACAATTGATGAGAACCTGGAAGCAGGGTAAGTCAGAGCCAATTATGCTCAAACTTTCTGAACATACACAACTGTGACCTGAGCCTGAGTTGCAGTAAGAAAAACTTCATCCCAAAAGGAATTTATTTAGAAAGATAGTAGTGCAAAAAAGCAACTAGAATGTTAGAGTGGAATTCAGAAGTCAGTTTTAAGAATGGTAGGCACTGCTGCATGAAGTGCGTAAAATAGACTAATCCCATTATGAAATCCTTGCGTGAAAGCAGGCCACTTAGCCTGTGCCTCAGTTTTCTCACCATTCATATAGGGTTGGAACCGATTTACTTAATAGATTTTATATGTGGCTAAATTTTAACACGGACTAGATTACTGCTAATGGTTATTACTACTAGTTTCTGTGTTAAAACAATAATGTGATAAAATAACTGTAAAATAGACCTATTCCTTTGTATTAGTGAATGTACAATTTTAGAAGTGAGGAAATAAATCATATGATTAATTCTGATGTGAAATAAGGGTTTACAATAGGGACTGGAACTCATTCTTAGCCATTACTAAGACATGTTCACAAATCACTCAGATTATTCCAATATTGCTAACAGAAAATAGAATTATAAATCTTATGCACATTTAAATTTACTTCTTGGACTGATACTGCTGGGAAAATAATATATTTGAAGTGTGTACGTGTGTGTGTATAAAAACTCAGTTCTGGAATAACTGATTGATTGTGAATTAAGTATGACTCACTCTGATATCAGTATATTAAATACAACAATTGAGGATCAAATGATGGCTGAAGGGCTGTGAGCTCAGCTCAAGATGGGACACAAAATTGCTCTTCCCTTTCTCCATTTGGGGCAGTCCTGGTGGTACATCAATCCTGGTTATGGCAGCCACGAATCACTAGGGTACAAGTACTCATAGAAGGCAGAGTAGATTTGCAACTTATAGACTAATCAGTGTGTGTGTGTGGGTGAATGTGTGGTTGTTTCTATAGCAAGCTTTTGTGGGCTGAAATTCACTTCATTAGATGCTATGAAAGGATGGGCATAAAGAGAGAGAAATTTGAATACATAAGCAGAGAAGGGAAGGGCAGAGAGGAGAGGTGGGAGAGGGAAGGGGACCATGCTGGGAGAGGCAAACATATAAGCAAAACACTTGAAGGTACAAAGGAGTCACAAAAACTAATCCAGGTAATGGGCTAAGAATCCATAGTCCCTGTTTAATACTTAACACAATCAGCCTGTGGATGATTTCTTGTTCTGCAATGTCCTGTTCAAAATGGTTTTTGAAGGTTTGCTTCCTGAAAACTGCAAAGCTCAGGTCAGCAATATAAGGTCTAGGAGGTTAAAGTATTCTGCCCAGGCCTGTGTATCTTTCTGCACGTCAGATTGGCCTTCCTTCATTTTGTCATGTAGGCATTGCCCAGTTGCTCCAATGTAGACAGCAGAGGGGTACTGTGAGCGAGTGATGGCATATATGACGTTGGTAGAATTGCAAGTGAATGAAACAGCCTCTCTCACTCTCCTTCAGCCACACTCTGCAATGGCCACCATATTCCTGTAATGCTTCTGTGTCATCCAAGGAGTCCTCTATGCATCAAAAATGTTTCAACCTACAGCTAAAGCAACATTAGAGCCATTTTGAGCTAAGGGAGAGGCATAACATGATCTCAGTACAATAATCAACACCGTTCTATAATAGTCTGACAAAAGATGAATAAAAATTGGATAGGAAACTAATGCTGAAAGGAAATGGAAAGATAGTGTAGATATAGTAATATTGTGTGTATAGGCATGAGCAGGGGCTGTAGTTTTGTTTGTATAAAATTAACAATATCATTCATATAAAATGTATAGACTCTTTAGACTTCTGACACATTAATTTGCCACTGATAAATCTATATGAGAGAGAAGCACTGCTGAGTTTACATAATGTGGTATCCAAGCAGCTGCTGAACTTGTAACATGTATTCAGATTTTTCTTTCTGTAAATTTAGGAAGGGACTTTATTCTAGCAAGTAGCTCTTGAGACAGCAGAGTTCCCAGGTCTCTATCATCCTTGTTTGGCTGTATTTGGTTTCCTGAATACTTATCTCCTATTCTGTCTACCAGGTAGAAAGCTGACATTATGATCAAGGAAGAGTGAATGAACAAAAATGCACATTAAAAGGAATACCAAATGGAAAGCACTCCCCCGAGTGGATACATGTATAAATTGTAAGAAAATAATCTCTAAATGCAGCCCCTGGGACTTGAATTATTTACACTCTTTTAATCCTCTTAACTTCAAATCAAGATCATTCACATTGCTTTACAGTCAGGCTTTCAATTGTATTTTATGCTCTCAAATAATTTCCTTGTCAATCACTGTATTGAACAAATTTGTAATCCGCTCATGGTTTCAACATATAATCATTTGTCTGTTTATCCTATAGCCTAACACCTTTCCTCTTCATCTCTGCTTACTCTTATCAAAGTCATATTTTCAAGTTCTCCATGCAGACTTCTTACAGTGGAAAAATGCATGAACAAAATTGTCAAAAGTAAATAGGAAACCAAATGCAATTGCTTCTGTTACAACCACTCCTGATATGAAATAACTTTTAAGGTTATGCCACATTCTGAAAAGAGGCAAGGAATTCAAAGCTGGATTTGATAGTCTACCTTTTAGAAAAGAAACATGTCATAGTTATAAATATGTATGTGTGTATTACTACCTGATACATCTGGAATAGCCCCAGAACTGTTCTTGTTCATGGGTTATTATGTACTGAGGTGGTATATTTCTTTCACTGTTTGGGGAGCTGAATGTGTAGTTGCTCAGGTAGCACCATGAGAATGTTCTCTTGTGGCAGTGTTTACTGAATATTATTTATTAAAAAAAGACTAGTCTTTGATTAAGTATATATTGTAACATTAAAAAAAAAACATTAATCTTACAATTATTTGGATGGCTACGCACACAATTTTGTAAATAGACATGGAGTCACTATTCACTTATGCAAATATAATATTTGCATTGGTGCAACATAATTTTATGTGGCATAAACACACAGCAGCTAGTTTTCAGATGTATTTATGCTTTCGAATCAAAAAAGAGCATGTAATAAACTTGCATATAATTTTCAGCTGTAGAAGAGAAAAACCCTCTTGAACGAACACTTACATAACTCAAAAGGTCTATATTTAGCCACTTCTAAGTTGGGTAAGAATCATTGCTGCTTGTCTTAGCTCTGAATATTATGTCTTGGGTTAGAAATGCTGTATTTTATGTATAAGCCCCACAGCAAGTCTGTTGTTAGGAGTCAAGGAGCTTTTGTGACTCCCCTTCTGCCAGCGCTGAAGGAAAAAACCAAGAGACAAACCATTATGCCACATATAAGGGGACATGCTGATAAAGATGGTTTCTTAGGTAACTTGGGTGCAAGGCTTTATATCACCACATAGTCAAATTAATTAACGGAACAGCATGTGATGGGATTTGAGCAGCAGTATTTTTATTACCAGTATTTGAGCCAGACATTTACTTAAGCAAAATAAAACCAAACAACAAGCTGACATCTGCTCGAGTCCCAGGACTCCAGGAGCTGGGGCTTTAAGGCAGTTAAGTACCCAGTGGTGGAAGGAGGTGGCTGGCTGGCACCGGGAGGCCTGGCTCCCCACCCATGGTGCCTTGGCAAGATCCATGCCACCATGGCTCTTGCCAAAGCTTTCAGTCAACGAGGATACTCCTCCAGAGAGAGAGATTGCACATTTGAAAGAACCACTCGGATACCACGTGAAGAACTGCTGCAGTAACCACCC